TTTGCCGCACCAGTCGTAAAATGGTATCCGGCTCAAACCACTTACACTGTTGGTGGAACGTTATGCCCAATACACATCGGAATAAGAAGGGTCACACGAAGGTTCAAGATGCATGTTCTATGTCTAAGGGCAGTCTGAAGGGCTATTTATACAGGAGGTCTTAGGGACTTCTGGGGACCTCCTGAGTAATGGGCTCTACCCACGCATACGTGGCTGTGCCCACGCATAAAGGGTTGCCTTCCTTACTCAGGAAGTCCTCATGCGTTCCTGCTACATGGGCCAGGATCCCTTCTCCGGGTCCCTCCTAACAGGGCTACCCTGGTCCACCGACACACACGTATGGATGCGCATGGTGTCACAGGTCCCGGGGCCGGCTGACCGGTCATCCGGTAATCGGATTACCGCCCCGCCCCACGCAAAACCATGTCGTTCCCGGCCCTGCGGGGCTGGCGTTTTTAGTCGGATTACCGCCATCGGACGGCAAAATCGAAGGTCCACGCCCTCACGCGCGTTGCGCTCCACCTCCTCCTCCCACCTCCCTCCTCCACCTCCTCCATTGCCACCGTCGCGACGGCGACCGCCTGCACCATGTCGAACGCGATAGAGGATCCCCGGGTCAGGGCGGCCATTGAGCACTACCTGTTAGATCTGGAGAACACCCAGCCGAAGAATACGAAGCGAAATTATCGTCCCAAGCAGGAAGAATGGAAGGCAAGCCCGCATGCGCGCCCTGCAATCTTCATGTAGATCCATGCATTGACCGCCTCACAGGAGTGGTGTCAAGCCAACTGGCCTGCGATCCCGGACGTTTGGCCGGCCTCGGTACCACAGGCCAACAGCTACCGGGAGACCTGGTCGATGAAGGAAAGCTCTTGCTCTTCATGAAGGAGGTAGTGGCATCACGTCCTCCAAAGAAAGGAAAGAGGGTCGCCGATGAAAGAAAACGACACCTCGAGGCTCAGGAAGCCAAGAGGGCCGTGAAAAGACGCAGAGCACCATCAGGTAACAGATGTTGATCACGGGATGTGGTCGTCGGACTGAGCCAGCCCATCATACTAACACCCAGCTTCCCAGCAGATACCATCGTTGTAGGCGGCGGAGGTAGCGAATACGAGTCAGACTCCGACTTGGGTTGTATGAGTCCACGCTCAAACTACAGTATAATACTGTACGGGGCTACGTCTCGGCCATACAGAAGCTTTACGACGAGCAGAAGAGCCGGGAGTCAATCCTGCGGCCCGGCCACAGGGAGTGGCACTGAAGGCTCAAAGCGCAGGCTTTGCGGCAACGACTTGGAGCCGGAAGAGGAAGGAATACATGGACAGGGAGTTGGAACTCTGAGAGATGTGTATGCCCCGGCGCAGCTACCCGACCACCCAACCGTGGCATGGTCCGAGAGGAGCGAGATCGCCTGCCCCCGGAGGACGCGGGTGGATTTTCTGCTAGGAAACCACATGCTGCTGCGGCCCGGCAACCGCCTGCCGATGGAGTTGGCAGACTGCTTTCCCGGACTTACCCAACGAGGGCTTCAAGGCCCAGGGGTATACCACAAAGGCGCTGGTTGTCGTGATGAACTGTGGGAAGACCAACCAGCACGGCCGCGTGGGTATGGATCTGCTTTGCGGCATCGAGATCCGCGATCTTGTCTCATCGGCGCCCTCGCGTTCTGGCTTTTCTGGCGCTGGCAGGTAGAAAAGGCGGAAGGTTTCCGTCTTCCAAAGAAGCGAAGACTGGTATGAAACGAAGGTGCTCCGCCGATCGGCGAAGGAGCCTCAAGGTAAGCGTGATGGCATTCACCGGAATCCCATAACTCAGAGGGTGCATCGACCCTTTCACTCACCGATATACAGCTCCGTTGTCGGGCCAGACTGCCCGAGAATGGACGTCCAGGTTCTACAAGAAGGCCGGCATCAAGGTCTCCAAGGTCAGCCACGCGCCTAGAGTGGCGGCGACGCAAAACGCCGACATGGCCGGAGTGGATGAAGGCCAGGCATGTCATCTGCCCTAGGCAAGCCGCCAACCCCCTGGCCTGGGCTGACCCGAACTATACAGATCCGCCGAGCCGGTCGTTGGAATAACGAGACCAAATGACCGGCTGCTATCTGCTTCCTTTCGAATTCATGAGGGCCGTGGCCGACTTTGACCCTGAATGGTCGGGGTCTTCGTGCCCAGGCCACCGTGAAGCCGCCTGTGGTGCTACTCGTGCAGGTCTGGCCTCAACTCGACAAATGGAAAGAGGCCCACAGTAGCCCTTTCAGATCTCGGGTGGAGCAGAACATGGCGCCGGCGCCTTCTTGGAACTCCTGGGTGGCTTCGAGAGGTGCTCCTGCAGGACGCTGTCTTCCTTCGCGAGTCCTACCCCGACCATCCTATCTTTCAGGATCCGGTCTTCTCTTGCCCCGAGTTTGAAGCGTTCGCCAGCAAAGTTCAAGACACATGCACACGGGACCACGAAGACAGCCATACCACGGTCATTCAAAAGCGATCCCGGTGGTTGCGGAGAAGCTGCGCACAGTACTGACTCAACAGGTCGCAGCCGAGCAGTTAGCTGAGCGAAGACATCTAGACCTTTGGGGCTTCTTACGAACTATGCACAAAGTTGGATGAGTTTGCGCAGGCCACCTACACCGTCACCTTCAGCCCCGGCCAAGGTGCTGCAGGTCAACATGCGGAGATCGCGGAGCTCATCAACAGAGGCGCCGCGCTCCACGAGAGACGGTCCTCAGGTCGAGATAGGCCCTTCGCAAGCGGGCGGTCCGACATACGCTCCGCTCTCTAGAGCAGCAGCAGGGAATGGTGCAAGCGGGCCGGGGCAAGCCCAGGGAAGAGCGCATGGCGAGCCGCCTGGGCCGCGCGAACCTCCGAGCTTCAAGCCCCCGTTCTGTCAAATCTGTACAGGAGCTGCTGCGTCTCTGGCGGCAGGGCTGGGGCGAAATGCCTTCTGTGGATTCTCTTGAGCGAGACTGGGGTGCTCGATGGCGGCCATCTGCAGAGAAGAATTACTTTTCCACGCGCAAGATCATCGTCGATGAGGTTCGGAGGCGGGCCCAGTCGGACGGCAACTGAAGATATCGTGGCGAGGCAAATGGACGAAGAACGTGGACCCAGCTCTTTGGATAAGTTGTTCAAGGCCATCCGAAAGGACAGGCAAGGCGAAAAAGGGACACAAACGTGCGTCGGGGCAATTCAACGTCGGTGGTAGCGAAAAGTCGATGGCGCAGTGATTTTGAACACCCGTCTGATAGAATGACGAGGACCTTGGCGGCGAAAGTGCCCCAGGCCGTCGGGGCTGCGTCGCTACAGTCAGCGGTAGTGGCCTGTAGACGGGGTATGCATCCGCTAAGCGCCGCTGTAGCTCCAGCGCGTCAAGGCTAGAAAATGCTTCAAATCACCGCAACCTCGCAACCGACAGGATGTAGGACCTTAGACAGGGTGCATTCTGATCGCACAAACGCAGGCTATCCAGTCGAACTGGTTTTGTCGTCGTCGGTCCCGGCTTTCGCGCTTTATGGCGCTCCGAAGATGACATCAACCCGGCAGAGGTGATGTCAAGGGCAAGCGGGTAATCGGCGGTAATCTGCGGGGTAATCCGCTGACCGCCCACCAAAGCCGGACCTGTGACATCCACTTGGTATAACGACCTAACAGTGAGTGCCTGATACGCCCGCCGTTTCAGCAATCTTGCCACCCTATACGGAGTATCAAAACACCATGAAGCTCGTGAACAGTGACATTTTATAATGCACACAAGTACACGGGGCCGCTATTCCTGATCACCGCAGATGGCAGGAAGATTGTCCCGATTCTGCCAGTAGACAGGGACTTCCTCGTCGGACCACACTCTGCACTCGTACGCAGTTTCCCTGATCGTATGCTACGCCATTACAGTTCACAAGTCGCAGAGCATCACCGAAGACATGATCGTGACGGATCTGTCCTGCCGTGACTTTCAGACCGGTTTGAGCTACGTGGCCGTCTCGCGTGTGAAAACGCTGCAGGGTCTGATGCTGGATGCCCCTTGACCGCAATCACCTGACTTATGCGTCGCCGCCGGAAGGAATTAGGATGAAAATGAGGATCAGCAACTTCGCAAACGACGGTTCTCACTCAAAATCCGTACAGGATGAATGTATGATTGCAGATACTGTACTGATTGTTCGGTGACTGCTTGACTGGTAGCCAGACTCGCAGCCTTCGGCTGATTGTACGCCTTGCACCACAGCCCTAAACACTAAAGTGCAAGGTGTGGCGCAGTATTTTAAAACTGAAGAGATATGCGAGTGAAAGCCTGAGAGATATGGACGAAGATGCCACGGCAAGGACAAGCATGTAATGATCAACTCGTCTTTTAACACTGGCCACTGCTCTCTAACGTCGTAGTTACATTGCCATACGCCTTCATAGTAGAGAACACTACACAATAGATCATTGACATCAAGTGGATGTCACAGGTCCGGCTTTGGTGGGCGGTCAGCGGATTACCCGCAGATTACCGCCGATTACCTTGCCCTTGACATCACCTCTGCCGGGTTGATGTCATCTTCGGAGCGCCATAAAGCGCGAAAGCCGGGACCGACGACGAGAAAACCAGTTCGACTGGATAGCCTGCGTTTGTGCGATCAGAATGCACCCTGTCTAAGGTCCTACATCCTGTCGGTTGCGAGGTTGCGGTGATTTGAAGCATTTTCTAGCCTTGACGCACTGGAGCTACAGCGGCGCTTAGCGGATGCATACCTGTCTACAGGCCACTACCGCTGACTGTAGCGACGCAGCCCTGACGGCCTGGGGCACTTTCGCCGCCAAGGTCCTCGTCATTCTATCAGACGGGTGTTCAAAATCACTGCGCCATCGACTTTTCGCTACCACCGACGTTGAATTGCCCCGACGCACGTTTGTGTCCCTTTTCGCCTTGCCTGTCCTTTCGGATGGCCTTGAACAACTTATCCAAAGAGCTGGGTCCACGTTCTTCGTCCATTTGCCTCGCCACGATATCTTCAGTTAAGCCGTCCGACTGGGCCCGCCTCCGAACCTCATCGACGATGATCTTGCGCGTGGAAAGGTAATTCTTCTCTGCAGATGGCCGCCATCGAGCACCCCAGTCTCGCTCAAGAGAATCCACAGAAGGCATTTCGCCCCAGCCCTGCCGCCAGAGACGCAGCAGCTCCTGTACAGATTTGACAGAACGGGGGCTTGAAGCTCGGAGGTTCGCGCGGCCCAGGCGGCTCGCCATGCGCTCTTCTGGGGGCTTGCCCCTGGCCCGCTTGCACCATTCCTGCTGCTGCTCTAGGAGAGCGGAGCGTATGTCGGACCGCCCGCTTGCGAAGGGCCTATCTCGGACCTGAGGACCGTCTCTCGTGGAGCGCGCGCCTCTGTTGATGAGCTCCCGCGATCTCCGCATGTTGACCTGCAGCACCTTGGCCGGGGCTGAAGGTGACGGTGTAGGTGGCCTGCGCAAACTCATCCAACTTTGTGCATAGTTCGTAAGAAGCCCCAAAGGTCTAGATGTCTTCGCTCAGCTAACTGCTCGGCTGCGACCTGTTGAGTCAGTACTGTGCGCAGCTTCTCCGCAACCACCGGGATCGCTTTTTGAATGACCGTGGTATGGCTGTCTTCGTGGTCCCGTGTGCATGTGTCTTGAACTTTGCTGGCGAACGCTTCAAACTCGGGGCAAGAGAGACCGGATCCTGAAAGATAGGATGGTCAGGGTAGGACTCGCGAAGGAAGACAGCGTCCTGCAGGAGCACCTCTCGAAGCCACTCCAGGAGTTCCAAGAAGGCGCCGGCGGCCATGTTCTGCTCCACCCCGAGATCTGAGAAAGGGCTACTGTGGGCCTCTTTCCATTTGTCGAGTTGAGGCCAGACCTGCACGAGTAGCACCACAGGCGGCCTCACGGTGGCCCGGGCACGAAATAAGACCCCGACCATTCAGGGTCAAAGTCGGCCACGGCCCTCATGAATTCGAAAGGCAGGGAAGTCAGATAGCAGCCGGTCATTTGGTCTCCGTTATTCCAACGACCGGCTCGGCGGATCTGTATAGTTCGGGTCAGCCCAGGCCAGGGGGTTGGCGGCTTGCCTAGGGCAGATGACATGCCTGGCCTTCATCCACTCCGGCCATGTCGGCGTTTTGCGTCGCGGCCACTCTAGGCGCGTGGCTGACCTTGGAGACCTTGATGCCGGCCTTCTTGTAGAACCTGGACGTCCATTCTCGGGCAGTCTGGCCCGACAACGGAGCTGTATATTCGGTGAGTGAAAGGGTCGATGCACCCTCTGAGTTATGGGATTCCGGTGAATGCCATCACGCTTACCTTGAGGCTCCTTCGCCGATCGGCGGAGCACCTTCGTTTCATACCAGTCTTCGCTTCTTTGGAAGACGGAAACCTTTCCGCCTTTTCTACCTGCCAGCGCCAGAAAAGCCAGAACGCGAGGGCGCCGATGAGACAAGATCGCGGATCTCGATGCCGCAAAGCAGATCCATACTCCATGCGGCCGTGCTGGTTGGTCTTCCCACAGTTCATCACGACAACCAGCGCCTTTGTGGTATACCCTGGGCCTTGAAGCCCTCGTTGGGTAAGTCGGGAAAGCAGTCTGCCAACTCCATCGGCAGGCGGTTGCCGGACCGCAGCAGCATGTGGTTCCCGAGCAGAAAGTCCACCTGCGTCCTCAGGGCGCAGGCGATCTCTCCTCGGACCATGCCACGTTGGTGTGGTCGGGTATCTGCGCCGGCATACACATCTCTCAGAGTTCCAACTCCCCTGTCCATGTATTCCTTCCTCTTCCGGCTCCAAGTCGTTGCAAGAATGCTGCGTTTGAGCGCCTTCAGTGCCACTCCCTGTGGCCGGGCCGCAGGATTGACTTCCCGGCTCTTCTGCTCGTCGTAAAGCTTCTGTATGGCCGAGACGTAGCCCCGTACAGTATTATACTGTAGTTTGAGCGTGGACTCATACAACTCCAAGTCGGAGTCTGACTCGTATTCGCTACCTCCGCCGCCTACAACGATGGTATCTGCTGGGGAAGCTGGGTGTTAGTATGATGGGCTGGCTCAGTCCGACGACCACATCCCGTGATCAACATCTGTTACCTGATGGTGCTCTGCGTCTTTCACGGCCCTCTTGGCTTCCTGAGCCTCGAGGTGTCGTTTTCTTTCATCGGCGACCCTCTTTCTTTTCTTTGGAGGACGTGATGCCACTACCTCCTTCATGAAGAGCAAGAGCTTTCCTTCATCGACCAGGTCTCCCGGTAGCTGTTGGCCCTGTGGTACCGAGGCCGGCCAAACGTCCGGGATCGCAGGCCAGTTGGCTTGACACCACTCCTGTGAGGCAGTCAATGCATGGATCTACATGAAGATTGCAGGGCGCGCATGCGGGCTTGCCTTCCATTCTTCCTGCTTGGGACGATAATTTCGCTTCGTATTCTTCGGCTGGGTGTTCTCCAGATCTAACAGGTAGTGCTCAATGGCCGCCCTGACCCGGGGATCCTCTATCGCGTTCGACATGGTGCAGGCGGTCGCCGTCGCGACGGTGGCAATGGAGGAGGTGGTGGAGGGAGGTGGGAGGAGAGGAGGTGGAGCGCAACGCGCGTGAGCGAGACCGAAATCGAAGGTCTCGCGCAGGCCCCGCGGGCGTGGACCTTCGATTTTGCCGTCCGATGGCGGTAATCCGACTAAGAAAACGCCAGCCCGCAGGCCGGGCCTTCGAAAACGACATGGTTTTGCGTGGGGCGGGGCGGTAATCCGATTACCGGATGACCGGTCAGCCGGCCCCGGACCTGTGACACAAGTGAAAACGTCGCCTGTCTATGACCTCTTTTTGCGGAAATCGCGAGGAGTCCTGGAGCCCCTAGACATTCTGTATCATTCAATGGCCAAAGACAATGAAACAAGTAGCTCATCTACTTAATGAAGGCAGGCTGTGAAACAATCCTTCTCTGACACCTTTTATCACCAGCATGTAGTGATAAGGGAGGCAGTTGACCAGCCTGCACGACTCGATTCACCCCTGCCTCTGTCAGGAAGTAGCGGTAATAACTTGGAAGAAGTAGTGATGTGATCGGCCCATAAAGCCTAGGGTGTCCCAGTAAAGGATGCACGAACCATTCCAGGGTGATTCGCGGACATTGGCTAAGTAACGGCGGACCCTGGCCCCGGAACAGGAATATGCATGAGGCATCCCGACAGACAGTTGCGAGACAGCCAAACTTGCACTCCGACTGCAGTATCAGCGTCTTACGGATATCTTCTCCCAGCGAGAGATAGTTCAGATTTCTGTTCTCCTACTTCCCATTTCCCCTTCCCCTAACCCATGATTCTCTCCGATCTTCAGCACAACCCTGATACTCAACTGAAGCATTTTCTGTCTCGTTTGCACTTCGTCTTCCCTGAGCTTACGAAGCATAGCCTAGAGAGAATCCTGTGGGCCAGATGTCAACCCGCAGTACGTGATGAACCCCACCTGAGATCGCAGGCGCGTGGGTTTGGCTAACACAAGACTTCTTCCCTCTTGCTTTGTTTTAGCAAAAGGATGGCTTAGCCCGAATTCGAGACAACCAGAGAAGATCGCGTGCCCGACGAAGAGAGCATCTCCTCGAGCTCGAACAGCGAGTGAAAACTTACGAGCTTCAAGGCATTAAGGCCTCTACCGATATGCAGTTGGCCGCAAGGAGAGTAGCCGAGGAGAACAAAGTACTACGTGGGCTCCTCAACACACATGGCATCAGCGACGACTATATCGCCCATTTCTTGCAGATGGGCACCTCCCGCCTCTTCATTCCAGCCTAAGCCATCCTCCCGCGCCGACGACTCCGGGCTGCTATCAAGTCGCCACAACAGCTTTCATTGCAACGACAATCAGCTAGTTCAAGCCGAGGCTTCTCTATCTCTTGGCCGAAACAACCAATCCAGGAGCCCTCCCACACCAGCGGGTCAATGGCAACGCAATCCGTCAGGGAGCCTTCGCGGCTGGAGACGACTTCGCACGGCTATTGGAATCTCGTAGTGGCCAGTAACCGCGCGGTCACAGTTATCGCTCGCCTGTAGTGAAGGTTGTTTAGGAGCATGAGGACAGAAGCCGGCCAACGAACACCGGAGTCGCGGCCCGATTCTTGTAATCATGATCACTAGGGCGGTTGCGGAAGCACTCGGTCAGACTCATGCCCCATTCAATGTATGCGCTAAGGTCAAGCGGTCCGGTTGAGAGAAAAATTAAGGTAGCTATAGTGGCTTGTTCTCGCCCTGGCCCGACAGCCGCACCCCGTCGACCTATCTCGTCGCCCCCTAGCCTCGCCGCACTGCACGACCGAGAGGCCGCAGGCCGAGTGCAGGGTGATGCCGCCAATCGCGCCGCGGCCGCCTCCGACGTTGCCGTGACTCGCAGCCGGCTCGACAGCTCCGAGGGTAGGACGCTGAACACTTGGAGAAATTGACCTTCAAGCAGGTCTGTCATGGAGCGAACAGTGGAATGATTGGCGCAGTGTATGATGATCTGTGGGGCTTGAGGTGCCATGCATCAGTGTATCGAACCGCCAATAGCCAGATCGTCTAGGCCCTATGGGAAGTATCATCTTGGCGAAATAAATCCATACCAGACATCAATGAACAACAACCATGGCGCCGATTGTTGATGGCGCGCGTGATACCCTTGGCGCTCAGGTCCGTGACAGAGTGGGTTCATTTGGCAAAGACAAATACTCGAAGGTTTGAAGAACTAGCTACCGCGCGTCCAAGTCGTGGACAGGTCGGAAAATACTTTCACCGAGAAACCACTGAAATTTAGTACAGGAGACCGGCCCCTTTCAGGGCCCGCCAATGCCTTGAGGAACGGGACGAGAGTTGGCATAGCCGAGCGCGAGCATTCGGGTTGGTTTTAAACGTAGACAAGTCTGTTGGAGAAGAGAGGGTAGTGCGGCTGCTTGGACCCGCTACAGCACCTTACCTGTTTAAGCCTACCCTCATCTCCACCCTGCGGCACAAATAAGCTTCAAATTGATTCAGCCTCTTCACACAAGCAACCTGCAACGATTTGGTCATCGGAATTAGGTCATCATGGCCTTGAGTGCAATAGCTGCAAGAAGTCGCCGCCTGAAGTCGCCCTCAAGAGGTGCGCGAAATGTTCCACAACGCCGTACTGCTCCAGGGATTGCCAGAAGGCAGACTGGAAGGCCCACAAGAAGGTTTGCAGCAAACAACAGGCCGACGCCACGACGTCGTTTCAAGATGGGTCTACGACGACAAATTTGTCGCCTCCGTAGGGTTGGAACACGGCGTCGCCCTCCCCTTCACGCGTCTTGAAAATCGCACTTGGCTCCATGATCGATCGGAAAGAGATGTCTACGGGTTGCTGATCGACGCTTACCGGCTGCGCGTTGAGGACATGTACAACATTGAAGGCGAAGCAGACACGGATAGCATATATGGTGGTGCCGCCAATGGGCTGCGTGGCTTCAAGCGCTTCCTGGGGCGCGTCGAGCGTTGTCCCGGTTTACTGCCGCCGTGGTGGGATGCAAAGAAGAAGAAAGTGTGAGACACTCGGCATGACCCCGTCGCAATGGCACGACCTACGATGCGCGGTGGAAAAGAGCGACATCATCGAGCAATATGGGGATTCACGATTCCCGATGCAGCTTCGGATGTTTGCTGAGTCCGTGTATGGTCGAGCTCCGGGCGGGACAAGTGGGACGGCGATGAGGCAAATGATGGTTGCGATGGAGCAGGGTAAAGCAGAGGATGGAGTCGCATATGGACAGGTCAGCAGCCATGCTTGGTCGGCGGTGAAGGGATAGGCTTAGTTGGTCGACAGCACCGCAGATCGAGTAGAAGCTGGCCGATCGTGGTGTGCTTTGAGAAGATTGTTTCTCCATCTGCAAATCATCCTAGGTCAACAGGGCCGAACCTCGACAACCAGATTGCTACGTATCTCAGTATTGAAGCCAACTCCGGTTTGCACCTCCAGAATGGCAGTCACAAGTTGGCACCGTCGTGGTCACGCGCAAGGACGGGAAGCCATTTTATCCGCAGCATCTTGAAGGTGTGTGGATGTTTTGCGACTATATCCTGGATCTGTTCGAGGAAGGAGACGGGCCGCCGGGATGGCTCTACAGCCGCCACGCGTTTGAGAAATGGTGGGTGAATTATTGTGAAAGCCAAAAGCACTTGCGCTCTGGGAAGGGAGGATCGAGATCCAGACGACTGGGGTGCGGTCCGGTCACCTTATGAAGTGTAGGACGTTTACCTGCCGCGTTACGACGTGCAAAAGGTCAAACTATCAGGATGGTTAGTATACTACCACTTTTCGAAACCTTGGTCCTCGTATAACCCTCTCGTTTCTGCGGCCAAGTTCTTGAGTCTCTGCATTCCATCAATTATGGCCGGATCCAGCACATTGCCAATGAAATCATGGTGTCTCACAGGACCAAGAAGCTTGATGCCCTGAAGCGAGATGCACCTGGACAGTTGCACATAGAGGCTCGTAAAATCGCACCTGGAGGGTTCACCATTGGTCACACGATTTCCACGCAGCTCCAACAGTACTTCCACGAACGTTTTACCCTGGGCTTTGTAATCGGTGAGGACGAACCTCTTCGGGTGCGACAGTGGCTGGGTGTTCTCGCGACATGGTGCTGCGAACGAGAGCTGGGAGGACGTGGGAGGAATGGTCTGTTACCGGCGCCCAGCCAGAATCCGGCGTTGGAAGATCAGAGGGCTTACGGACTAAGGGATTTCCCGTGATCTGCCGGATCGGACGATTCGCCGGATTTTGGTTCCTTGCATTCCGGTGAAGATTTGAGTGAAACTCCACGAAAATAATATGAAACAATCTCACATTAAAGCAGAAGCAAGAAAGATGCCTAGCAATTCCATTCAATCTACTTCGCAGTCATCAAGCCACCGTGGCCGCTTCCTGTGGCGTCCCGATCGCGCAAGTCCCCGCATTGCGACTACCATCTCCTGGTCGCGCTCGACAGCCAATGATGGCTTTTGGGACGTGAGGAAGTGGTCAATGCCGGCTTTGGATCTTTACGCAACTTAATGTTTGGCGATTTTGAGTGTTCCGGAGCTGTCGTCGGTTCTGGTGGAGCCGAAATGGCGACGACAATCTCGTCTCGAACGCCCGGACTCTTCTCGCGAGTCTGTGGAGCAACAGAGGTCCGGATCCCATTTCCGACATTTTTCTGGTTCTTTCGCTTGAGCTCTTTCCGTATCTGCCTGTTTTTCCCGCTCTTGTTGTCTGGCTTCCTTTGCCTGACGTCTTTGCTCAGTTTTTGCCTCCCGCTGCCTTCTCTTCTCCAGAGCGAGAACTTTGAGGTTTGCCGCCTTTTGCTGTCGCTCAAACCTTTGTCGTTCTTTCTCCAAGGCCTCTTCTTGCTTCTGAGTCTCCATGGCTGCTTTCTTCAAGCGCGCTTGGGCCACTTTTGCAGGGCTAAATACCTGCGCCGAGTTAGGATCTACACGATCGAAAGGTAATCCTTCAGAGCTTTACCGCGCATTCTGCGCTGCTTTTC